CGCAGGAATTTTGCCAACAAAAAAAAAATTGTTTTAGTGGCGGTTAACCGAAGCAGAGAACAAAAAAAAAAAGTGCTGAAAGCTTATTTGAGCATTTTTATTTACTTTAATATCTGATAGAAATGGGCACCAAAACGGTTCAGTGTAATCAACGATTCAATTTTAACTCCTCTATTGCTTCAATAGTGTGCCCAGGTAATCAGGGCACTTATTTTTTTGCTAGTTCTCTTCAATTCCAAACTTTATTCCGGCAACCTTTTTGTTCATCATTCTGGCAACTGTTTTGCAGCTATTTGTTTTTCTTTTTTCCAAATCTTTAATTACATTAAGCATTAAGGTTTACGTTAACTGAATCCAACGATTTATTGATGTAAAAAAAAAAAGAAAAAAAAACATGTATTTTTCCCATAATTTATTATTGAATATGGTAAAAATTCCTTGTATTTTTTTTTGCATATATATATATATTTTTTTTCTATATCATTAACAATTCCGTTTAACCCACACAAATAAACAATCATCCGGTGACATGATTACTGAATTTACTGACACAAAACTAAATGGATTGCCAAGGTATTTGCTTTATTCATCAGAAAAAATTTTTTCACTGAATTTCAGAAAAAAAAAACTTTTTTAACGGAAACTTATTGGTCAGTCAAACTGTAGCCTGTTTTACGGGAGAGAAAAGTGAAAAGAAGTGAAATTTGTAAAACTAAAAAACTTCATCGTAACGTTCTTCAATTATATAATCGATGCTGCACTGATGATTGACGTTTTATTTAAGTTTTCTTTTTTTTTTTCAAAATTGCATGTGTAGTAAGAAGCTCAACCAAAGATACAAAACATAGAAAATTTTAATTAGAAACGCTGTTCTGGCTTTCGCTACCAAATTTTTCCTCTTGTACGGCTTTTATATGACTTTTTTGGAATCAAAAAAAAAAACGTAGATTTGCAGAGCGTAAGTGGTGAAAGTGGCTCATGTGTTGCAAATATACATCTTGCAAAAGTACCGACATTTTAGCGGAACTCAACCGCTAAGCTAGTTTTTCCAGCAAAAAATCTCAAGGGACGATCCATGTATCAATAAGTTTTTTTCATAAAAACAGCTTAAACGTAAGTAGTGGCTCAGCAAAACCAAGAAATGGAAACCTTTACAGGAATGCTTCGATTATACTGTTACAGGGGGTATTTACGGCCAAAAACACTATGAGACTGTAAGCACAACATGTGCTTTGTGACAGATGATACATCTACCAAGTCTCGCGGTAACCATTTATGCTTTTCGGATTATCTTTCAACCACCTGAATTCTCCACTGCTGCCTTATGACATGTAACCGTTTACTTATAAGTATGAAATGAAATTTTAAATGTGTCTAAGTTTAAAACTTAAATAGATGAACAGAATAGCGTTTGGAAGGCAGTGAGACAAAGCATGCTTTTGCAGGTAATAAATGAAATACTCTAAAGTCAGAATATTATTTCCACATTTTTACACTCATGCAAAGTTCAAAAAAAAGAGAGAAAAACAATTTTTTTTCAAAGAAAAAACAATTACGGTGGAAGGAAATGAGAAAAACAAATAAAAAAGATTTAAAGTTCAAAACTTTTTGTTCCTTTAAATGCCTCTAAAAATTGAGCAATAAAAGAAAGAAGCTTTTATCCAGCGATCGAAACCCTTTCATCACCGCTAAACTTTGAAACAGTTTTTAAGTTTTTGAAATGATATATAAATTTCATAAATAGCCAATCACTCGCCAAAAACACTGAACAAGAGGTTTATAAAGTTTTACAAAAAATTTTCAAAAGTAAAGATCAAAAATATATCATGCATTAGTAAAATTTATACTCTGAATCAATCATCTTACCTAGAACCTTTCGATTTAAAGAAATTAAACTAAGGTGAAAGCTTATTCACAAGCAATTTTTCAGTAATTTTTTCGGCAGCTACAAACAGAGAATTCAAAAAATGCAAATCTTCGTTTTTTATATTGCTCGGGACTGCTTAGCCAATAAGTAGCTGTCATCTTTGGAAGAGAAAAAGGGCACGGTGGTTTTTCAAGGTGTAAAAAGATTAAGGAGGAGCGACTACATATGAAAAGTTTCAGTAAGATATTGACAGGACAACACCCAGTCCTCAAAAAAAAAAAAAAAAAAGAAGCTGGAGTAAGCATATTTCAATGTTCAAATTAAGATGTTATATAAATTTATTTTTACCCATTACGATTCCTAGACCTGCAGTAAATATTAGTCATAACAGTGAGCAAAAAGTATGAATGAAAAAAAGTAGGGAATAGGGGCCAATTTAAAGAAATACAATAAATCAATGCAGATATATGTGCATATGACTAGGACCTTTGCCACTGTGTTCCGTCCTCTCTTTAATGCTTCTGGCGGATTAAGGTGAAGGTACGATACAACCGAAAAATCTGAATAAATTCTTTTAAAAAAAGTGGTGAATCAAAACAGATACAGCCCATGAAATCCTGAAGAAGAAAAAAATGTTAATGTTTACGATTATTCACAGACCGCTACGTAACAGGCCTACCTGTAACACTCAAATTTTTATTTCCAAATAAAATGTCATACAGGTAAGGAAACATAGAGGGACTAACTAAGAATATCGCACTGTCCTCTGACAGATATATTACAACGAGGTCCAACTTTGCAAAAACCTAGGTAACTTTAACTGGAGAGCAATGATCACGTAATGGCTCACGCAAATCAGAGCTTGATGGGAAAGTGTTAGTGATGTATCGATTGAATAAAGAGTTATTAAGATTGGTGCTCGTGAAAACAGTGAAACAAGAAATTGGTAAATGAAAACAATAAAGGTGAAATAGGTATTAAAATATTTTCATCACTGCAGTTCCCTTTCCGTTCCTCCTATGACTATGACGCTGGAGTTCTTTTGAAGTCTCTTTGCACACAGCAGTTTTTTCTTATCTGCTATACGTAAAGGTTTGCCTTCCACACACAAAAACCATAAACAGTTAAAGTTCACATCATATAAACAGACATTATAAAGCAATATAAAAAAAAGGGAAGCAGAGCAGCAAATAAAAAAAAAGCTATTTGAGCTTAAATATCTACCCAAAGTTTTATTCATAAATGGCTTGAAAATATATGGAAGTTAAACAAGGTCCTGAACAAAAAAGTGAGCTGCATATATTAGTGCAAGAAATTTGGTAAGATGTAACCGCTAGCTTGTATAATACAAGTGCCAATTAAGCGCGAAATCCGTACCGAGCTGTAATCAATCAGTAATGACAGACTAATTTCGGCGATTGGAAAGGCGCTAAATGTTATATGGCTGGTTCCCGGAAACGGCAGCTTTAAATCCTGTTTGGTTTACTCCTAATTGCAAAAAAGTACTAAATATAGGCATTCGCTTAAGCTCACATATCTATTTTACTGAATTAAAAATTAGCTTCACTACTTCCAGAAAGTCATTTGAGCGTAAGCGTTTTAATAAAGCACTGCGTCTACTTATCTCCACAAATAACGTCCAACGTAACCGGAATTCAACCACTATTGCTTTTAAGTGTGCACATTCCCAAACATGGATTTTTTTTTATTGTTAACCCATCTTCTTCCTTTTTTTATTATAGGGTTTTCGTTTATACCGTGTTCACCTGTGGTATTCTCAGGTATATTTGTGCACCTGTTGTCAACTTTTTACGAGCCCTCTGGTAAAGTTTCATTTTAATTGTTATAGCACCTCAAAATGCAACTCCACAGGGGAAGCGTGGTACTGCAACTATCCGTCATTCTTTTTAATCGAGGAGTATTTACCGCAACTTTCCTCAGTATGTCCCTAAAGATCTTTAACTTTTACATTCTTCTACTGTGAGCGACAATAGCCGTCAGATTTTACAACACCAGTCAAGTCCACTAAGACTGCATAACTTAAACGACTTGATAAATCAAAGACAAGTGACACTGCATTCACGACGAGTGAGCGTAACGACTGACAGCTTGGTACCCAGGAGGACTTAATTTGATAACGTTATCTGACTTGGCGACGATGCAATGACAGTGTACAACAGCAACTACTTTCTAAATAAAATAATTCAAAGAATATTTGAGAACACATATTTAGCAAAACACCTGTTGCTGGAGAAAGTCGACGAGCCGCCCTACGTAATAAAGCAATAAACAGTTGCTTACCTTGCCGGTACAACAGAACAAATTCGATAAGATGATAATCTAAGGTAAACTTGAAACAAACAAACTACTCGAAGATTTTGAGGGATCCTCAAGTCCAGAAACAGAACATGGCTTACAAATGAAATTAGAACGAAACGAAAAAATTGAAAACATGCCAAAGAGAGGCTGCGAATGACTTTATGGAAGAAAAGCAGACTGAC